GGGGGGGGGGGGGAAATGAAGATGGAACACCACATTTCTTTGGCTGGTATAATGAAGAAAACAGAAAACAATAACGCTGTTGTAGGTGCGGCGGCACGGGCACTCCGAGCAACGTAACATCTTAAACCACGGCCATTTCAGTTCCAACTCAATGCCTAAATGACGTCTCTTCCTACGAGGGCACCTCCGGCTCCATCCAAATGCGGGCGCGGAACGTCTTGTAAAGGTCCCGCACAAGAGTTCTGAAGTCCAACCGGTGCTGCGACCGGTAGTAAAACGTGAGCTTCTTCCGGTCGAACTGGTACTCAGCATCGACGATACACATTGGAAGACCGTGCTCTTCTACTTTCTTTTGCGCCACCTCCACCGCGCGGTCCTCCAGCTCCGTCTGGACGCCCTGCAGCTGCGACACCTCCAGCGCACTTGCAACACGCAACACTTTTCCGACGCCCTCCGCCCACTTCTTCTCACCATTGTGGTCGCGCTCACCGAGTGTCCACGAGTGCGTTACGAGGCCGATGTCTTCCCCACGATCACCACCAACCACGACATACTCACCGGGAGCAACGTACGTTGGAGACTCGAATTGAAGGATACGCTTGCGCTTAAACACAACCAGAACCTGGCAGGGCACACTGCGGTCCTCTGGCGGGGTACGGTTGCGCTTGTCTTCAGGGATAGACTCTAGCGTCGGCCGCTTGCGTGCGTCAGCATCGCTCTCGCCAGCAAGACGACTTTGCCACATACCTGCTGCAGCCGCTGCGTTGCCGCCCGCCATTTCGTCAAGGAAATGGTCATAATTGAGTGTCGCACGGTTCACCGGTGGCGATGCCATGGACGGTGTGGCCAGCATCCTGTCTTCGTTGCCGCATGTCTGCCGGCTCGGCGTCATTTGCAGCGTGTCAAGGAGAAGGCTTCCGATCTCCTCGTGCCGGGGATTCGTTGTTTCATTCGCGAAGCTCTCTATCCGGCTGATATGCCGTTCGAATACGTTGCGTGCTGTCTGGAGCCGTATAAGATCTTGGACGCAGCACTCCTCTAAAAACCGGCGCGTCTCCTCGATTTCTTTCAGCACTGCCAGGTTCATGTCTTGGTATTACTTTTATTTCGTAGCGTTCTCTCTTCTCTTTCTCTCTCCCTCTACTGAAATCCCTCCGCTCCTTCTGTTTACCACGCAAATCTATATTCTCTAACAAGGCCTACAGATGCGCACAATTGATGAACACCGGAAAACAACAACAACACAGGAAGCAACAAGAACAAAAAAGGCAAGAAGAATAAAACATTACACAAACAACACATGTGCCTTTTTTGGTCTTGCTCCCCACACAATTTGGGTCTCAGACTGTTAACTGTCCAAATGCATACTCACCACACGACGAGCGGATCCTTGTCCTTCGCCGACACCATGACACGCACCTCATTGCCGAGGCTCTGCTGCAGCCGGGGGAGCAGCTGCTTCGCCAAGTAGCCTCGCTCAGTGTTGGTGTGCTCGCACAGAATGACGCCCTGTCCCTTGGCGTTGGCGGCAAGCACCTCATGGTGCCCCATCTCCCCGCTGAAGAGTAAGTCCACATGTTCCTTCAGAGCACGGAACACACCAGAGCCACTGCCGGCGCAGATCGCGACCGACCGCACAGGCGTGTTGCTGCCCCACCCCTCCGGCAGCGCGACGCGTACGGTGGGGATGCCAAGGCCAGTCTTGATGTCATCCACCAGCACCGCCATCCGCTTGGGCTGCCGTAGTGTCACGACACGGCCGATACCAACAGCCGCAAGGTCATCATAATTCTCGTTGGCGCCTTCGCAGGGTTGAATGGGGCACCGCTCCCCATCTGCATCCACAATGGACGCAAGCCAGTCGTTGATGCCATCCACTGCCGCGTCGAGGGAGGTGTGTGGAGAGTAGATGGACGCTCCATGACGCACCGTTTGCAGAATAATCCTCTGCTTAGAATCCGCCAGTGTGAGGCGCTTTAAGGGAGTGAAAATGGGTGGATGGTACGCGACAACAACCTCGGCGTTGTGGTGCAGGCACTCCTCCATAACCTCCGGGGTGAGGTCGATCGTCAAGACGACGATACCGGAGTTATTTGCGTCAGGGGACTCCACTAGTATTCCTACGTTGTCCCACGAACGGTCAGCGAGGCGCAGCGGCGCAATCTCGCCCATTGCCGCCGCCACTCGTTTTATAAGGGTGGTCATTTTTCTGATGTATGTGTGTGCCCCAGCGACTCCTGCCTCGCCCACAAAAAAAAAGGAGAATCTTGTGTACACAACTCAAAGGGAAACAAAGAGATCAAACATACGAAACTGATTAGTGACAGGAACTGCAGCAAGGCATCAAGCAGCAGCAAGAAGATCTACATACCAAGAAAATAAACTTCTGAAGCATGGGGCGATGACACAGTTGTGCTCAAAACGGAGCACTTTTGGCATCTGAAGAAAAACTGCTACGACCGTGCACGTGGCTGGCCGCGCTTAACTGTTGCACTTTACACAGCACCCAGACAAAGTCGACGAGATCTGGTGAGGGCCTATCACCGAAGGCGAGACTGCAGTCGAAGAAACCCTGGTGGGACATCGAAAAAATAATATCACGAATGCGTAGCTGCCTACTCGAACAGCGGGCTAGTAGTGAGGGACCATTCTGCAGCATCCGATATCGACGGTACCGGCCCTGGCATCGGCTCTGTACATTCGTAAAAGCCTTTGCTCGTTGAATTACAACCGCTCCCTCCCGCAGCTCAAGGGACCACCACCAGTTGCGCGTCTCAAGGACAACAAAGTAATGGTTGCCTGCCAAAAAAGTCAAAGGGCCCCATGAGGCTTGAGGTTCGGTGTACACCTGTACCTCAATGACAGGCTCGTTCAGTGATGAATCATCTTGCAGCCGCTCGAACAGCTCCGCAGACGTCACAAAGCAGGACTGTTTGCCGCCATCGCTTCGGGCCTCTTCGTCCGCCACGAGATCCAAATAGTGCTCACACTCATCCCCCCTACTAGATGAGTAGACATCCATGAAGATACACAACGGCTTAAGTGGCAGTTGATGGCTGACAGGAATATACAGAAAGTGCACGCAATGCTGCTTTCCTCTTTTTTCTTTTTTGTCTTTCTAGTGCTGTCACACCTTCCTTTGGGAATGGCATAAAATAGAGGCGTAATGAAGAGAGAAAAAATAATAACAATATACCGGGATAACGCCACAAAGAATGCACCACTTTCCGGATCATCTACCTCTTCAACCCTACTTCTTTCCACTCCTTCCTCCTTTTTGTTTTTGTTTTTAGATATTTGTTTGCATTTCTCGTCGGCCCTCCACGTGATGGCTCTACGACGAACGGTTCGACTCCAGCCAGCGGTACATGTTGTGTGCTGGGAGCGATATCTCGTTTGGTTCACACGCCACGGGCGCAATGGAAAACCACGGGTGCTGCAGCAGCTCCGCCGCTGACTTTCTCCGCTTCGGCTCCAGCTGCAACATCTGCTCCAGCATGCCTACTGTACTCTTGTCAATCTGCATCAGCTCACAGCGGTGCTGCAGGTGGCTGCTGCGGTGCTGCTTGAAGCTCATGAGGCAGGTCTCGGGGCTACCGTAGTACAGCGCACTCCGTGACGACGGTGAGCCGAGCCAATCGACGATGGCCGCCGCTGCCTCCGCTTCGCTGCGTGCGTTGACGAACATCTTGCCGCCCGACACCATCTCGAAGAGGATGCAGCCGCAGCACCACAGGTCGACTGTGGCGTCGTATTTCACCGCATGTTCGCCTCCGAGGAGGACCTCCGGTGGGCGGTAACTCACCGGACACGGCGGCCCCGTCAGCGGCCCGCGCCACCGCGCTGGGCAGAAGCGGGCCCATCCAAAGTCGATTATCTTCACTACGCCCTTCTCGTCAATCATGACGTTACTCGGCTTCAGGTCGCGGTGAATCACCCGCTCCTTGTGGAGGTACGCGAGCCCGGTGAGGAGCTGACGGAAGATGCACTTTATGGTCGGCAGTGGCATGCGGCCGGCGCTCGGCTCACCGCGGGGACCACCGCGCCGCCACAGCCGAATCAGCGACACGAGGTCGTACGCGACAACGGGCATCAGCATGATCAGCGTCCCGTCCGGCACGACGTGGTAGTCGAGCAGATCAACGACGTTCGGGTGCTTCAGCATGCGCAGAAGCTGCAGCTCGCGCGAGGTGGTGTTGCAGATGCCCATGACACGCCTCCCGGCGCCGCGCAGAAGCTGCATGCGCTTCATCGTGAGGTGCATTTCGTTGACGGTGTCGTAGACAATGTACACCTCGCCGAAACTTCCTTGGCCGATCTTGACGATCCGCCTGAAGCGCTCATGCAGCGAGCGCATAATAGACCCCGCGGCACCGCCCGACTGTCCGCGGAGGTCTCCCTGCACGTGTGCGAGGCTTTCGGTGTAGCGATCCACCGCGGCCCGCTCAAACTCCTTCGCCTCCGCCTCCAACTTGCCGAACGGGCTGCCGCCCCACTTTTCGCCCGGTGTTTCCGCTAAACTACGCTCGCGCTCGCGCTTCATGCCGTGCCTTGACTGCCACGCGCCCTCAGCATCCACATGCTTCGACCCACACAACCATGGACAGAGAGAGAGAGAGAGAGAGAGAGACGGGTAGACAGAGAAGGAAAGAAAGAGGGGAGACTACACAAAACAAAAACAAAATACGCAAAACGACAACAAAAAAAGGCAACACATAGTGCTCACCAAACAAATGTGAACACGTATCCCTGCAGAGGCACGCACACACGCACCTGTGCATTGAATCACCATGACCATCGATAGCAACTTGAATGGTGCCCACCCACCCAATGACCGTTTTTTTTTTATTATTTTTCTTTGCCTCCGATGTTATCCTTTTCCGTGGCCTTTTTAGTAATATGAAGGAGGGAAGTGACCACATGCCTCACTATTTGCTGCATTTCCATTCGCTTTGGGGCGTGTGTGTGTGTGTGTGTGTGTGGGAAGAGACTGCAAACGAGTTCATGGTCTCTCTCTCTCTCTCCCCCCCCCCTACCCCTTCTTCTTCTTCTCTTCCCTCTCTCTTATACAGGCACGCAAACAAATGAACACAGAACGAGAATTTCTTCCATCTTTTTTACTTAGCGTCGCCTGCCTCCGCCGGCTGGGCAGCCTCAACGAACTTCAGCATCTCGGTACCCATCATGTACGGGCGAAGCACGTCGGGGATGATGACGCCCTCCTCTGTCTGATAGTTCTCGCAGATGCAACACATCGTCCGGGTAATGGCGCAAAGGGTACCGTTCAGCATGTGGCAGTACTCCTTGACATTGTTGGCCGCAACACCGCGCAGGTTGGGGCCGTAGCGGCAGTTCACACCGCGCGCTTGGTAGTCAGTGCAGTTCGAGCAGGACACTAGCTCGCGGAAAGCCCCTGACGCAGGGAACCAGGCCTCAAGATCGTACTTCTTCGCCGCGGCGTTATTGAGTGCACCGGAGCATATGTTGATGGTGCGGTACGGCAGGCCCAGGCTCTCGCAGAACTCCTCAGAGGTGCGGATCATTTCTTCGAGGTGGCGCCACGACTCCTCCTCGCGTGGGGAGCAGACAAGGAACTGCTCCAGTTTGTCGAACTGGTGCACGCGGAAAATACCGAGTGTGTCGCGGCCATGCGCACCGACCTCCTTGCGGAAGCAGCTCGACATGCCAGCGTACTTCAATGGCTCCTTCAGATCTGCGAACCACTTACCACGGTGATACGCCGCGATGGGCATCTCGCTCGTGGCAATGAGGTACTTCTCATCGCCCTCGCCCGTCACTTTGTACAGCTCCTCGTCAAACTGCGAGAGCTGCGCCACCTCCGACATAGCGTCCTTGTTAAGGAAGAACGGCGGGTAGAAGGGAGTGTAGCCCTTACTGACGAGGAAGTTCAAGCCGTACGAGAGAAGCGCCACCTGCAGCTGCACGAGACCACCCTTCAGCACGTAGGCACGCGCGCCAGCCATCGACGTGACGGACTTGGTTGTGTCCATCATGCCGAGACGCTCCATGATCGTCACGTGGTTAAGCTTGGCTCGCTTCGTCACGTCGCCGTAGAGGCGCACAACGGTGTTGCCAGTGTCCTCGTCCTGCGCGACCGGCACCGACTCGTGGATTATGTTTCCGACGCTGAGCACGAGCCGGTCACGCTCCGCCTCCAGCTCGCTCGCCTCCTGGGCGAGGCCCGCCACCTGGTCGGAGAGATCCTTCGAGAGCTGCTTGAGCTGCAGCACGCTGAGGTCCGCTACCTGCTCGGCGCTGAGTGTCCCATCCCTGGAGGCCACCTTAATGGGCTCCGGGATCTCGGAGGTGTCGCCATCCGCCTCCTTTGCCTTCTTCTTCATCCCAACAGCCTTGCTACAGGCGTTGATGAGCTTCTTGGTGACCTCCGTCAGAAACTGCGTGCGGCGCCAATTCTTGTCCACCTCGATGACAGTGTCAACAACAGCGGGGTCGGCAAAGCGCCGGCGCTGCGATTCACGGATCATGTCCGCGCCCGTCTCGTCACGGAACAACTGAATGTCAAGTCCCATGTTTTCGACGTAGACAGAAACAAGTCAGCTAAGGTAGAAATCAGTGTAAGCGTTACCTTGGGGGAGGAGAGAGTAATAACAACAACAGCGAGACATACTGAGACCACAGTGGCAGTAAAGTGCAGAGAAAAAATATGACACGTTAGCTTCAAGACAGAAAACAACGCACATGTCTTAAACTAAAAACATACAGAACTTGCGAGTTTGACAGCAGCGTGTGTCGTTGCTGTCCTATTCTTCTCAGTTTTCGTTTCTCCTCTTCTTTCGCTCATATATATATATATATATATATATATATATTATTTACATCTGAAATGTATCGGCTGTTGTGGCAAGGATCTCTTGCAGTCTCTCCTGCACAGCCCCCTTGCTCTCGGCCCCGGTGAGGCGCACGGTGTCTACCACCGCCTCAACAAACTCAACAAACGTCAGTCGCCCCTCGGACGCCACCAAAGCGGCGGCGAACTCGTCGTGTGGGCCGCAGCTCTTCTCGTACACGGAGAACCCCAACACGTTGCGTGGCTGACACACAACAGACGGCACAGTGCCCGGCGTTTTAAATCGGTCAAAAGGGAACAGACGATTCACGGCTTCCGTTGGCCCCACACCGTGTGCATGAAACAGACTGCGAAAGCACATAATAAAGTTGCGCACTGGTAAAACGGCACTCGTGCTGCATTTCTGAGGATGAGCTCTAGAAGCAAGTCGAAGGAACAGAGACTGCAACACCGGCAGATGTGGCGTCAGGACTTCCTCCATCTCCCTCGTGAGAGGACACAATGGTTCTTCTGCAAGCTGCGTCACCACTAGTGACCCTTCTACTAGCGTTGCGAAGCGGCGCGCGAGCTCAGCGGTTTTGGGGCCCACACACACAATAGCAGCGAGACGTACCAGACATTCTACAAATTGCCTGTAGTTGATGTAGCCCTCGAGACGCAGTACATCACGGCGGAGCGCTTGTAGCCGCTCACTCCAAGGGTCGTCTAACTTCGCCCTGTCGGCCTCGTCCTCCTTCTCAATCGTCGCCACGACGCAGTCCACCGCGTCGCCGATGCTTACCCCCCCATTGATGATGTGCGCATCGCTCAGCAGGCGAAGATACTGCGGAACGGACATGTGGCCCGGCGCACGGTGCTTCCACCAGTTTGAAGGCGTCGTAATGAACCCAACCCCTTCGTTCTTCCTACTGTACGTATTGAAGAGATCCTTCAGGGTGTTGTAGCGCAGAAGCAGCAAACGCAGGGCAGAGGTGGCCTCCTCGAGGGAGCCCTCCGAAATGCCAATAAGGCCCGCCAACGCAAGTGAGGGCAGTGCGCCGGATGACTCTTCCCCCTTCAGCAACTCTTCTGCATCATTGTTTTGGAATGTGCCGTAGTGCGAAGCACCGACGCCCGTCGTGCATTTTCCACGTCCCTGTTTATTGCCGTCACACCACTCGCCTTCGTATGTGCTCCCGTCGGCGTAGAAGAATACACCAGAGCCATGGCGCTTCCCATCCACGTAATTGCCTTCATAGACATTGAGAACAGAGCAGGCGGGTGGAACAAATATTGATGGGCTGTTCGCATCGTGCGGGGCACTCTCGGGGTTTACGTAGTGGACATAAGTTGAGCGGCCGTGTCCGTGCGGAACGCCATTACTCCACTCACCCTCGTACACCTCAACATACCATGCCTTGCCGTACTTCCACCCCATCGTTCCAAAGCCGTGCCGTTTGCCCTCCCTCCACATGCCGTCGTACACGTCGCCGTTGGGATACACCAACTTTCCCAGGCCGTGTCGCTGGTTGTCCACCCATTCTCCCTCGTAATACGAGTCACCAGTGTACGTTTGACGTCCCTTACCGTGGCGCTTGCCGTGCACCCACGCGCCAGTGTACACACCACGCTCCGTCGACAGCTCGCCGCTGCCGTGACGTAGACCGTGCTCTACCTCACCAACGTACCGGTCGCCATTGGCCCAAGTGAAGACACCCTTGCCCGTCGGTGCGTTGCCTTGGAACTCACCCTCGTATGTAATGCCACTGCTCCACACGATGCAGCCGGGCCCATCCATTTGACCATGCACAAATGTGCCTTCGTAGCGAAACCCCATTGCAGAGATAAGAACACCATTTCCGTGGAACAGGTGATTCTCGTCGAGAGAACCAATATACCTCCGCACGGATGCTGCAGGCAAGGCAGCCATCACAGTGCCATCGGGGGCCACCTGCTTCAGGTATTCGTACACTGCTGAAGCTGTCATCTCGGTGCCCATTGACGCCGCTAAGACCTACAATCCATAAGTAAATGATATTTGAAGAGAAAACCAAGAGAGAAACAATATGAATATTGAACATAATAACAACACCCCTAGCACACTTTCCATACCCTTTGCATCTTGCTCACACATATACGGACACAAACACAAAATTTACTCGCTCCGTCCCCCACTTGGCACCAGACCAACGGGGGCGAACTTCTCCACAAAACCCTTGATGAACTCCGCCTCCTCCTTCGCCTCTTCCATGAGCCGTGATTCACGCTCCTCACGCAAGCGTCGGCGCATTTTCTGACGTGCTGCATTGTGCTCCTTCCTGGAGAGCATGAGTCGAAGCTTTAACTCCTTAACCCCGAGGAGGTCGCGCTGGTCGGTGCCATCGAGTTCCTTCACCGCGTGCAGTGCCATCGCCTTATTTCGGAAGGCCAACACCGCATAGTGCGTCTGGTTCAGTAGGTTGCCCTGCTGTGAGGTACGCACCTCCACCTTTGGCTCGTATGCTTCGAACACAGTGCGCACGGCGTTCCGCTCCGTTCCAGGCCCAACGAAGCAGTGCAACCGGTACACACTCGACGCCTTCTTGCTACTCTTCGCCGCCTTCTTCGTCTGCTTTTGTGTCGCGAGCGTATCGGACCCTGCATCCTCGCTGATGGCATCACTACCCCAGTCAGACAGCACCTCACCCGCACCCTCCGTCTGCAAAAGAGCAGCAGTAGGGGTCGCAGCAGTTGATCGCTTCGCCGCACCTTTGCGCCGCCGCGGGTAGCGATTGTCGCCATCAGTCTCGGCGCCCCAAATGGCGGCCAGCTCCATCTGTCGCTCCTTCTCCAGGTCCCGCTTTCCCATTCGGCCCGACTCAAGAACGCACGGTATTAAAAAAATAGCTTGCCGAGCCTTTTTGTCCAGAGGAGCAAATAAGGCAAAAAACAACAACAACAACAACAACAACAAAGTATAAGAAACAAAGTGAAAGAGAAAGTGTGTATGTTTGTGTGATCAGATGGAACGTGACCCGACAGTGTTGGGACCAAGACGGCATTAAGCCCACACCAATAACTTGCAACAACAGAGATGTGTACAATCATACCCCTCCTCAGTGGAACCTGGGGCACGCGGGGTTGGCGCTTTGAACGTCCATCTTCTCCTTTGCCGTAAACTCCAGCACGGTCGCTATGGCTGGCACCATCTGCATCCGGACTTCCTCATTTGAGCAACAGAGGAACTGCAGTATGACATTCCGCACATACTCCACACTCAGCTGCACTCTCTCCTTAGCTTTGAGAAGTTCAATGTCCTTTGTATATTGCGCAATGACACTGTTGTTATGCTCACACTCTCGCTTCATCTCCACATTCTCCTTCTCCATTGCAAGCAACTGCGCGCGTAAATGGCGCATCTCATTGTCGCGCTGGCTCTGCTGAGTGGCAAGAGACAACATGTCCTTCTCAAAGACTCCTCCAGAAGCAGCACGAAGTGCCGCCCCTCCTGTTGTTCTTGTTGGCGGCGACGCTACTGACAGATCCTGCTGCCCCTTCTCCCGCTGGAACGCCTCCCTCTGCCGCTTGATTTCTTTCCGCAGAAGCTCGCATTTCTCCTCCAGCTGGCTGTTCCTCAATTCCAACTCAGCCACGACATTTGGCGGCGCTGACAAGCTTACATTTTGCTCCGCCTCATGCAGGCGACCAAGCGCTTCCTCTAACTCCTTCTGACAACGCTGAAGCTCCTTTTGCAGCTCATCAAGATCCACCTGCAGCGCAGACACCTTCCCATCCATCGCGGTCAGGAGCTCAACTACAGAATTTATCCCCTCACGCTCCGCGAGCGGCCGAATTACTTCCGTTAAAGTCAACCTAAAGTCATCTGCCTTCTTCAGCAACAGAGCAATATCACCCTCGCCCCTATCGCTTGAAACAGTGCACACCAAAGAAGCATCATAATCGGTAGAGGCAGCAGCAGCGACAGCCAGCATCAAAACTAGGCAGCTTTTTAGCTTCTCAACATCATCACTCCTAGACGCAGCAACGCCCTCCAAGCTCTCGATGCGCGCATCATCTTTCGCCTTCGTAGCTTTCACCTTCTCTTTCCAGACAACAATCTTCTCCTCAAGCATACGCAGTTCGCCTTCCTTCTCCTTCACAACAGAATGACATTCCCTCTCAACCTCCGCACAACGATCCTGCAGCCTTTTGCACTCCTGCAAAACACCTTCGCGCTCCTGCACAGCAGTGTCCAGCTGGACCTGCAGCTCCACGGTGCTCGTGCCGTGCTGCTCCCGGAGGGTGCTCAGCTCCTCGGTCGTACGTTCCAGCTCACGCTGCACCTCCTCGCGCTCCTGCACAGCAGTGTCCAGTTTGTTTGTTAGCGCCCGAATAGTCGAGTCAATACTGTGCGTGTTGTGGTCGTTTTGCGCATCAACTGCTTGTTCTGTGTGTTTGTCGGGTGTGAATACCCTGTCCAAGTGCTCAGTATTGCCATGGGACCCTCTCCAGTATTCCTCTGCAACGTGAATACAATGATTGATATCAGGTGGGGCTTCCTTTAGATGAGTGGCTATTTTGTGGATTATGTTTTGAGCCGCTGTAGATTGCTCTTTTAATTGCTGAAGCTCTTGTGTGAGTGTACGGATGTTTGCGACGTCTTTGAGTTTTTCCTGTTTCACCTTCTCTTTCCATCGCTGCAGTTTTTCCCCAAGTAATGGGTGCATCCCTGTTACGGCGTCTTCCTCTTGTGGCCTCTGCTGATGCTCTTGGTGTGAGTTGTCGGTGGTCTTTTTGCCAGTGTTTTCTTCATTTGTTATGCCCTCTTCGCCTATTAGTTTGCCATGCATGGCGCTTGACGCCTGTTGTGCCTCTTTCAACTTGTTGTGCAGTGCGTCATTTTCAAGTTTGAGACCCATAAGTTCCTTTTGAAATTCGCCGGCAAGGACTTTTTGGTGGGTGGAGTGCTCTTCCAATGCTTGTATTTCTTCCGTCTGTTTTTGTATCTGTTGCTCGAGGGCACGGATTTTGTCTGGGCCACCCAAGCGGTCTTGCAGCTGCTTGAGCTCTCTTTCATGGTGCGCCGAGAGGGCTTCCAGTTCCTGTGTGAAGCGTTGTTGGTTCTCAATGTATTGATTTTTAAGGCCCTCCAATTCACAGCGACTTTTCTCCAGTTCTGCGTCACGTTGCGATAGGGAGGCAAGTGCCTTGGTGAGTTCGTCCTGCTTCAGTGTCTGTTGCCGCACGTGCTCCTCGCGCACGGCTGCCAAGCTTCTGTCAACAAGGGACTGCAGTTCTGCAGTCATGGGAACACCAGCGGTTTCACTTATAGTCTTCATCAGCGTTATTTCCTCTTCCAGTTCGGCGATCCGTGCCCGATCCTTCGCTGTGAGTTGCTTCACCTTCTCTTTCCATGAGGCCGTCTTCTCTTGTAGTCTGGACAGTTTCAGTTTTTCTTCTTCAAGCTCATTTTCAGTTCGTTTGATCGCCTCCTCCAGAGTTTTGTTTTTCTGCCGCAGCATCTCTAGCTCATCTTGATCTTGAGAGGAGCCGCTTGGGAGGTGCTTCTTGAAGAGATGTTCCATCTATTCCCCCTCTTCAAAGAGTTAAGCATGCAGTTTACAGAGAGAGAGAAACAGAGGGGGAATTGGAATTAAAGTCCTGGTGAGACGAAAAGTGTATGGTGGTGGGGATGACATTATATACGTTTAGGAATATATATATATATATATATGTATAAAGTGAGAGATAGAGAAAAATGAACAGGGCTATAGAAATGCATGCAGCTTTCGCTTTATTGATAGGAAGCGATTTTTTTTGAATTTGTATATGAATTGTTTTTCTTTTCTTTATTTAACCAACTCACTCTCAACTATTTCCTTCGTTTTCCATTGTCATTGTGGTTCGCCGGTCTGAATTGCTTCTGGTCAACGAGGAACGTCACTGTTCTGTCCGGTACTGAATAAATAGGAAGTAGGCTGTGCTTTGACATTTGCTTTTTAAGCCAATCAACCAACTCCGGAAGTTTGACACGTTCACCTTCCAGCGTTGTCGCGTCAAAGACAATTTGGCGGACACTTTCCTCCACCCTTTTCACTTCCTCGTCCACCACAAGGATGTGCGTGAGGGATTCCCTAATCATGGAAAGAACCTCCATGGCATTCTCGGACAGTGCTCTCTTTTCTTTCATCATGAAGAAAATCACAGGATCTTTCGGCTCAACGTCCATCGGGCGTTCCACGCACTTCTTCCGTATGGTCAGACATAATTTTTCGGGTGAAATGGCGTCCGACCGACTACCAACTTTCCCTTGCTGAAATGGCGCGAGGGATACAATCTGACTTCCATCCAATAAAACCGCTTGTATGCCTTTTCCCTTCATGGCTTTGCAGAATCCACGAGTATCGTGGTCAGACCGCAGACAGGCCCGAATGTTGTCTCCCCATGCCCTCACAGCAGCCGTAAGAACCGTGTTTATTTGATTGGGCGAGTACACGTCTTGACGACGGATCGCCACCCCGCTGAACAGCACTGCCTCAGAGCTAGGGAAACGAACGTGCCGGCCCACAGCACCCAATTCAATGAGGTCAATATTCAAGCAGATTGCAGTGACATCTGTGTTTCGCGCAGCACATTTGCTTGTGAAGTTTTCAAGGCCACAGCAAAATGCAATGGGCTTACTTTCATCCCGTGTGCGACATTCAAATATCAAACCACTCTCGAGAAACGATTTATCCACAGATGTTTCACTTGGCTTCAAGGCTGGGTCAATGCTCAGGCTAATGTTCGAAGCGACCTGTTTACCAAAGAGCGGCAGAACTTCTAATAAGCCTGAGGTGAAGTTTCTTACTAACTCATGTCTTTCTAATGAAGGCGCCAAGACGCCGGCTTCAGCGAGTACACATTCGATTTTATAAACAGCGGGCCGAACCATTTCGCTCGAATCAATCATCTCACGCATGTTTAGTACTTCACTAGGCGGTTGCTGGGAGCCAGCCTGCGTCGGATGCGTCGCGTTCAACCAATTGGAGTGTGAAATTATAATATCCAGTTTTGATGTCAAATCTGTCACCGAAAGAAGGTGAAGAAACGAAAGCAATGGATCCAAGAAAGCTTCATCGAATACTCCACGGGCGCTTAACGGTGACGTGAATACAGCATAGGGGCGTGTCCTGTAGTAGAATTGATAAAACGAACCAATGTTGGGGCTCGCCAACATACTGAAGAAGGATGCGGTGGCGAGTTGTGGTTGAGATGGGAGCGCCCAAACCCTTGATCCCATGTCTAGCACGCATGGCACATCCAACTCGTTAAGCGAGGGGTTCATGGGTACCAGTGCATCGCAGCAAGCAATCGGAGCAGCACCGTGGAGAATTCCGATTATACTGACCGCCTGCATAATATCAAGCACCACATTACTGGCAAGTGCCTTTACATTCTCTTTTATTTGGGCATGTGGTCTGCGGTAATGATTCACCATTATCCGGTGCACACAATGAAGTACACGCCCGGCCATGCGCTCTCCATGCCTTTCGATCGTTTCCAATGCCTCCACGATGTCGGCAGGATCTCCAGGGAGTTCTGCTGTATTGAGAACTTCTTCACATGAACGTCGTGCGCTTGGCTCACGCTCAAGAAGATTGGAAATCACACCCGCCATTCTTGGATTCCATGTCCAAAACCATTGAGGAAGCATCTTTCCTTCACTGACCTCTGTCATGATGTTAAATCTTTCCCTAAATCCCTTACCTGCCACCGCAAGCCACATTTCAAGTGCAATCATTCCAAGGCTATATTCGTCCACCTTGAAGTCGTAGTTTTCACCCTGTTCTTGCTCCGGCGCGCAGTACAGAACAGATCCCAAGTTCCCTGTTGGTCTGGCTCCAATCTCTAACTCATCAATGGACTTTGGATCATCCACGTTAAAACTGCTCGCATTTCGTTTAACCGACGGATGCATCGTTCGTGCCAAACCAAAATCTCCCACTCGGATTGTCCCGATTTCACCACCATTCGTAGAATTCTCCATCTCAAACAGAATGTTGTCTGGTTTAAGGTCTCGATGAACTATCCTCTCCCCATGGAAGTGAGCCACAACCGTCAGTAACTGGCGAAATATCCTTGCTGCCATCTTCTCTCCGTCATCTGATGTAAACAGAGACTTTTCCTCCTTGTCACACCGATCGATTAAATGCCGCAGTGTCTGCTTGGAGCACAACTCCATCTGGATATAAAGTGTATGATACTCCTCAGTATGTGCGAGGTATGGAGTACTCAAGACGCCTCGTGGGAAGTCGTCGTCGTCGTCAGACGAGTCATGGGACGATTCTTCATCGCTTGATGTCTCTTCTTCCTCCCCAATGGTCTTCTCCAACCTGCAATATGGTAGCAGGCGCCGCCCTGCGTTCCCAATCGGCAAGGCATCTTCTTCCTCTTCCTCTTCTTCATATTCCTCCGCCTCCTCCTCCTCAGCGGCACCGACATAATCCATCAGGCCCTCATCGCATCCAGGCTCAATCCACGCGTCATAGTAACGCACAATGTGTTTGTGGGTAAGCGCCGCCAAACTCTGCACCTCTCGCAGCGCCTTCTCGGATTGTTTTGTCCGTATCACAATCTTCTTCACGGCATAGAGTCGCCCATCGACTTTCTTCCGGCATACATAGACCGGCGCAAATCCTCCTGACCCTAGCATGCGTTGCTCAATGAACTCACTTTTGTATCTTCCAGGTGAGCTGCGCTGAAATGTGCCAGTACCCTCTTCCTGTGCCCAGAGCCACTTGGTGAGGGCATCTGCACTATCCATAGACTCATGGATGCTGTCGCGAAAGGCACGCTGAGCGTAATCGTACTTCCAAGGAATACATTTTTGTAGCTTCTTTGGAAGCGCTTTGACGTCAGTAATCAAGTAATGAGCCAAGGATTGATAGTTGCCACTCGCTTCCTCTTTAGATTCTGGATCCTTCAAATGACAACACTTGTTGAGTAAGTGCAGAAGTAGGACACCCAACTTCACAACTTCTTGCGCTTGCACAGTTGGCGTGGGAGGCGGAGGTGCTGCAGCCTCTGTCGTCTTCGCAGGAGCCGGTGGTGTACACGAGCGGTGAACACCGTTAGATAACACCCTTTCCACCACGGCAATAATCTGCATGATGCATGGGGCACCAGCAAGAAGACACGGGCTGATGGTCTCCTTTACATCTGCCTGAATTTGCTTCACTTCAGTCTCGTCCAATGCGCCACTACTCCCTGGTGTCACGCCATGGGCGAGCAAAATACGCACCTTGGGCGCCACAAACGGGTAACCTGCCACAATGCTGACTTCAAGTACCACTCGACGCTTCGGTATCAACTCTGCGTCGAGGGTAAGTAATACCCTGGGGTAGTGTCCATCACACTCCACGATATGGATACTGTCATAGTTGGCCTTCAAAAACTCAATTTCGTCGGCCACAACATCATTTACCTCCGTCTGTCCCTCACTAAGGATGTCGAAAGCGAAGCATGTCTCTGATTGAGCCTCCTTCTCTACCATAAAGCTGATAATATGATTCTTCTACAGATAAAAAACAAAACAGAGAAAGTAATTGAGAAGAAAAAAAGGAGCCACATAAAATGTGAGCAGTTCAAGCACCAGAGTCAGAGAAGTGTATCTGCATATGAATGAAATCAAGTGTAATAAGAAACCAGCTCTTCTCTGGCTGAACTGCGCGATACGGTCACTCGCCGTGCGGCTTTGAAGACAAAGTGATTGCTTGACATATCCACTGTGGTACAGTAAAAGATTTTAGAAGCGTACTTATGTCCCGTTCTCGACTCAGCCATCGTCTTGTCTGCATGACATGCCACACACAACGTTTGCAAGTTATCCATATTTGCCTGCCCCCCGCCCTGACTCACAGGAAGAATATGATCCGCATTCCAGACGTTTCCAGGAACTGGATTCTCGACGAGTCTGTTAAAGAGGTTCGGGTAATGCCGCATATGGGGGTGCATCCGATCAATAACACATTCTCTATCCCTCCGTGTTGTCGCGACAGCAACCAATGCACAGAGCGTCTCACAATCCACTTGACAGCGCGAACAAATACCCTTGTCTGCCTCCCGAACACTTCTTCGAACAGCAGATCCTGAACGTTTGATGTAAAACGCTGCACGACAAGCACCACTACAGAACATATCTGTATCGTTCTCAATATGTACAACTGTACCTGGGGATATGGACGCATAATAGGACAAGCGACGTTCACACTCCAAACACAGCGGCGTATAATGATTTCCTGACGCAAGCAATTTGGCCCCATACGTATGTGTAGGATGGTTTCGCCGGTTAACTTTCCAGAAAAATATCCTGCCCATCAGTGGACGTTCATGGTTGTAGCGACGGTTAGTTTTTTGCGGTGCTTTTTCAGATCTCCAAGAAAAATTAGAAGGAAGCCAAACAGCAGCCATTTTGAGTTTGCGCTGCTCAACCGGAGAAAGCAGCTCCACATTCAACAGGTATTCCTTCACTTGTCGTGAGAAATCATGGGTACAACTCCAGTGCTGTTGCGCTTCATCAAGCGACAGACTAAGAAGATATCGGTTCCCCTGGACCACGTGAATGCGCCCAGTGTTGTGACTTATACGGAACTGAAGCGGCGCTGAGTTCGCGGGATTGAAAGAGACGCCTTTGCATTTCATCGGGATGAGGCTTGCGTCCACCACATAACCGGGAGATGCGACGCGACTTGTGTAGCTCGCGGTTAGTGACGACGGCACCCCATCGGTGGTCTGCCGAACCACTTGAAACGAGCGGCAAAGGCGTGCAAAGTGCTCTCCATCGAAAAAAGAGCCGGCTCCTATGATGTAGAAGAAAACAACGTGCCTCTCCTGCCCTGGACGGTGAAGTCGATCTTCTGCTTGCTGCAACCATGTGATGTTGGGTGGCAGCTCCGCAAACAGTGCACAGGGTGCAGCCGTTAATTGTATGCCAACGGCACAGGCAGTGATGCCAATGATTGCCACTTGGACATCACCTTTATTGAACCATGACAATGATGTCGTCCTCAGCGTTACAGGAGTGCTGCCATCTATACGCATCCAAGTAATCTTCTTTTCGTTAACATGAGCCGTCAGGCAATCCAGTAGATCGATGTGATGTGCAAACAGAACAATTTTTTTATACTTACTCAAAGCAAAATCAACTACCTCAAGAATTTTTTCCCGCTTTCTCGTCCAGCTGGCCGAGTATTCTTCTTGAAACAACGCACCTTTCTGCCGGGCATGTGCTGCTGTCTCAGGCACACGGAGAAGGATCCGTTGCTTGGAAGGCAAATCAATCAGCGTCTCAGATTTTAGACGACGAATCATGCAAGTCGTTGCGAGTAGGGAATATAATTCGACGTTTCGAATGCACTCGCAAACTTTAAAATAGGGTGTTAGTTCTGTTCTACAGTACCGAAGGGCGAATTCATACCTGGTTTCCCCAAGCAGACCACAGCAGAGTGTATCGATCTGGTTATAAAGATCAAACGGTGATGTCAATGAGGGAGTTCCACTAAGAAGTAAGCAATGCTTTGTGCGCCTCCCAATGTCGCACAATAGTGATGTGTATTGAGCATCACTGGAGGCTTCCAGTGTTGTGTGGAGGACATGGCTTTCATCCACGGCAATACAGCTCCACTCACGGCTTTTTATTTGCAAAGCAAGTATAGAGGCCATGTGAAAACTTGTGATGACCACCTTAGGCGTGTCGTGTGCAGAAAGAAAGTTACTTGAAGAACTTATGACGTGAATGTCATTTAGCTCAAGAAGGTCCATGAGCCACTTCTCCACTTCCTCCACCCACAAATGTCGCAAGGCAGCTGGGCAAACGATAAGAAGTGGAAAAGCCTTTAATGCTGCCACAGTACCAATCGCTTGAAGTGTTTTGCCTACCCCCATCTCATCAGCAAAGAGAGCACGCCCATTGAATTTCAGAGCCTTACAAATTCCATCGATCTGGTGTTGATGCAAGGCGGAGAAGAGTCGCGCTGGTAAGAGATCGGCCAAACATAAAGGCATGGCAGTTTCTGAAACCGAGATCATTTCACGGCAACGCTTGGAGGGTGCGTTTACGTATAAACGATCAGCACCATTAACCCCCGATAATAGCTGCAGCTCGTGCAACAGTACATCGAGACTGTCTATCGGGAACCGGAAGTATCCATCTGCCGTTGTGGTCCACTCGCCCAAGCTGTATGGTAGCCCTCTCACAACTTGAAGAGCATCCTCCGTAGTTGTGTTCATGATTCGCAAGCAAACACACTCATTTCTCAAATCCAATTCAACCTCAGCAATCTTCATGTGCTCTGTCGAGACACGTCCGGAGATGACAGGGACAAAATCATCTTGCCTCTCTTCAACCGCAATCCTCGCCACGTAATCTCGTAGAACTCTTTGGAAGTCAATAAACTCTCCCGGACAACGACATGCAAAGACACACCCAAATCGGGATACTTTAAACAATCGATATGTGTTGCACCTGATGCAATACTCCTGCCCATTTGCAAGGAACTGCTTCATCTTCAAAACGCTGCTTCATGTAAACTATATCAGCAAAGCAAAGCAAAGCAGCAGAGGGGCTTTCAAGGAGAGTTCAGGCAGTCTAACGTTTTAACACGACACTCACCAACAGGTCAAATACCCCCTTCCAGAAAAAATCTCTCATAATTTGCAGCAGCACATCGAATACGCCAAGCACTCTGCAGAACGCCTCACTGTCGTGTCATTCACATTCAGTTTCTTCGCCGCACATAGCAACGTCTCAACCGAGTAAAAGTAAAATAACAAAAAAAAAACGCCGTTTGAGGACAAAATATTGCTGCACAAGTATCCAAATTCCCCTCACCAGGCATAAAAGCAAAAAAAGACACACCTTCTCTTGGTCCACCTCCGCAAGAATAGGTGGCAGTTTAAGAAGCGAAAAAGAAACAACGGAAAAGAAAAAAAGAGGGAATGCAGTTGTTCTTCCAGATTTATATAAATTTAAGTGGCAAAAAGAGCTAGCACAACTTCTTGCATTTCAGGGTCATCTTCAACCAACAGATCACTTTGGGCATCAAATGTTGAATAGTCTTTCGGTGCACGTACCACAAAAGATATAGAAGGTGCGCTCTCGTTGTTCAGCCCACTGCGTGCCTTTTCAGCATCCCGTTCCAAAGCTATTAAGGCTCTTTCGCGAACACTCGGATCAACATGCTCCACATTTTGTACCTTACCGTCACGCATGTACAATATACGGTGGGCGTACGGCTTCATGTACACATCGTGAGTTACCATGACCATTGTTAGTCCAGCGTCACGATTTAGATTCATCAGAATGTTCATTACCAGCTTTGTGTTCTTGGTGTCAAGGTCTCCAGTTGGCTCGTCCAGGAGGAGTATTTCAGGATCATTGGAAAGGGCTCGTGCTATGGCAACGCGTTGTTGTTCACCACCAGACAGCATTGAGGAAAAATGATGCAAACGGTGGTCAAGCCCAACAGATGTTAGGAGTTTCTTCGCTCTCTCTTTTATCTCCGAGACGGATAGTTTCCCAGCTATGACCATTGGAAGCGAAACATTATCCAATGCATCCATGGTAGACAATAGGTTAAATGCCTGAAACACAAAACCGATCCGTTGGCACCTGAGACGAGCAAGATCCGCATCGGGTGTCTGCTCTGTGATGCGTTGGCCAAAAAGATACAAGTTACCTTTGGTAGGCAAATCGATGGTCCCAAGTACATTGAGCAAGGTACTTTTGCCTCCCCCACTAGTACCGTATATAACCAAAAACTCGCCTTGCTTTACATCGACTGCAATGCCACGGAGGGCTGGAACGCCTTCGGCACCAAGCAAATACGTTTTGTGAATGTTCTCACAGGAAACGACAGCTTTACCTTCCTCCAGTTCCATACCTAAGCTTCGTCACCTGAGGCAGCAACTATCACAATACCGCACAAAGAAACAAGAATTATAATGGGTACTGACAGTAACGCTACGGTTAACAAAGTGCACCAGGGATTGCCATCCTAAATTAATCACAGTTCCGTCTTTTTTTCTGCAACTATATTGCGTTCAACACTACTACAACTGCTATAATTACTTTTCTTCTACCCAATCCCAACCTCCCCCATAGCCCCTCGCTCACCCTAGCCACGAGTTGCTCGAAAAAGTCCCTGCACTCAATAGCCTTGATGGATACTTTCTGCCAATGGTGGTTTATGTTCGCCACCATCCACCATTTCTTGTGGTGTTTTCCTACCCATAGCTTTTCTACTTGGTCGTGGCGGTTCCTTAATGTACATGGGCTTTGTACGGATTTCTCTGTTATTCTCTGCATAACGAGCAAACTGCTCCCGAGCCTCACGCTGGTCCTCAAGTTCTTCCCATGTCAGTTCCCAGGAATCTCTGTGTTCTATTGAAAGAAGCACCATGTGTTTCGCGGCCTTAATTATATCTTCCTGTTCCTTTTCAGTCAAGTCTCTTATCTTCTCAGCTGGATTACCAGACCACATTTCTCCAGAAGGGATAATGACGCCTGACTGAAGAACAGAGGCCGCACATAGCATCGAGCCAGACTCCATTCTTGCACCTCTCATGACAATAGCATTAGCCCCAACGAATGAGCAGGAAGCAATATCTGCCGCCTCAACTATGGCCATTGGCTCAATTGTCGCCCACTTTCCAATTGTGGTGCTCCCAGTCACGAGGGCCTTCTCCTGAACATTGCAGCTTTCTCCAAGGTAAATTGTTTCACCCTTTTCAGCTCGAATAATTGCATTGTATCCAATATAGTTCTTTCGTCCAATTCGAACATCTCCGGACACGAATGCACTGGGTGCAATAAAAACATTGTCCATTACTGTGGGACGGACACCACTGACGGCAAGAAGTCTTGGGATGCGATACAGCGACTCTTTCGGCTGGAGCCCAGTCATCACTTCGCTCAGCGCTATTATTTTTTTGGCCAATACAGAAAACCTCACACCTAGTCCATCTAATGCTCGACTGAGCCCTGTTGGCCTTTTCACAGCCCAGTCAGGGAGAACTGTTGGCATTTTGGCCTCAGCTGCCTGAACTATGGTCCGCCTCATTGTTTCAGACCCGCTACAGATGACAAGAGGGATAAGCAGAAAAAAGAAGGAGAAGCACAGGAGAATAACAAAAAGTTTAATAGAGCAACATCAGCTACTACCACTACAACTGCTACTACATATTCATCCTCTTCCCTCTCTCCCACAAAAATGACAGCAAAACAAAGAATCGGCCCGGTAAAAGGCTCCCTCTTCAAGAGAGTACTTTATAGCACGAAAAGCTATGGCACCTCAAAAGCAGCGTCCAATCCACATAACAAGACTATCGATCAGCCCAAGAACGACAAAGATACCACCGACTATACCGCAGAGCTGTACCAAAAAATGGTGAATTGATGGTCGCTGAAAATAGTTGTTTACCTGGATCGGGTAAAAGTCGAAAGAAAACGCTACTGACGGAAGGACTCTGAAGCCTAGTGGAATATGGCGATGATTCCACTGCACACTATACTCATAGGTGGAGTCTAAAAAAGTGTCTCTTTTGGCATCCAAGTAAGTCGTTGGAACCACCTTCAAATAGTACTTAATTTCCGAAAAGCGTCTCCCAGTGTCAAATTGGTGGCCATTCAGTGGGTAATGAACACCTCTCCGCGAAAACCGAGCAACACGTTCATCACCAATGGAAAGCTTATTTATAATATGACTTGAATCGAAGCGCATAACGTCGCGCATCATAAAAGCATTCCCCACTCTCTTTGGTGTAAATAGGATCGTTCCGCTCACCTTCTTCACTTTGAAAGACCCCCTGTAATTGCATCCTGGAGTGACGAGAGACAGATCATGGATGCACTGTTCCACTACACTTTTCTCCGGCCTTGGCAGACCGTGCTGGTCGTGCATCTTCATCACATCTTCACATGTGTTGCAACAAGCATTCTGGCTCTTTGCAATATGCTCATTTTCCTTCCCCAAAAAGCAGCTCCCACAAAACTCTGGCGAATCAGGATCCTTCTTGGCATCATACTGAGGACTGCTATGATCCTCAACAATGTTGCGGTGTCCAATAAAAGCGCTTTCACCATTCAAGTTAACTGGTGTCTTGTAGATGTAGTGTGTAACATTAAATTTGAATGTCCCTGTGACATCCAATACATCAAGCGAAAGCTCGTGACAGGGAACGCGGGGAAAAGTGATATCCATATTGAAGTATATTTCTTTCGACAGACTGGTGTCAACACTCAACTCCGTCTTATATGCATCTCGACCTGTAATGTACGCGCCCAGCTCCCAGAAAACAAGCAACCCTATTATAACTACCGTAACAAGGCTCACTATTGCACCGCGACGTGTCTGAGCTCGACGGAAATCTTCTTTGGGCTTTGGAAAGAGATCAACTGCTGCAACCCTTTTAAACACGGGCCTCTGAGGCGCCTCTTCGACATTGATGACAGACTTTCTTTGCCGAAGGCCAGACATCTTTCAGTTATTGATATACTATTATCCTTTACACGCACCCTAACCCCCAGAAACCAAAAAGCAAGCAATAAATAAGCAACCAGGGAAACTACATCAATAGATTTTTCATGTTTCCCTACAGATTGAGTAGGTGCATAATAGATCCCTTTCCACACACTTCATCAACAGATTCACTGATAAGTACTCAACAGTCAGAGCCCAATTCTGCAATAAGTGCATCGCGGCGACGCAACTGATTCTCGGCGTACAGGTAATACTCATTCATCTCCTTTCGGTATCGTTCTAATTCACCCTCATAATGCTTAGAAAGACGATTTTCAATGTCCTTGACAATAGAAGAAAAGGCTGATTCGCTAGCAGGACGTTCAACGGCCAACTTCAGTTTTCCCACTTCCTCAATCAGAACAAGATTCTTCTGGCGCTCTATCGAAAGCAAATCACTCACGTCAAAGGCGCGCCTTTCTGTCTCCTTAAGTTCTTCTAGAAGCTGCTGCTTTTCTAGTTCAAGAACTCGTACACGATGTTCCAGCTTACCACAAGAAGAACGAATATCTTCACAATCCTTTTTCGCCTTTAATATTTCAGCCCGCAGAGCATTATCTCTGGAATCTTCTTCACGTCTTCGATATGCTGCATTGGAAAGCAACTTTTCCTGCACAAGTAGCTGTTCCTGGGCAGCGAGTAGTTGCGTCTCAAGTAGCTTTTCCCTCTCTCGGGAACCCTCGAGTGATCTCCTTGAAATGGAAAGTTCTTCTACAAGACCTCCCTTTTCGTTCTTGAGGGCAAGCGTTTCAGCAGTTTTAACTTCAAGTGCAGTACTCAATCGCTTCATTACACCATCTACATCAGACGAGTAAGATGCGGGAGCACGCGGCATCAGCTCTTTCTTCTCGCTGTACTGACGATCAAGGTCCTTAAACATCTCTTCTTCATTGCCATTGTAGTTCTTGATGAGTTCATCCACAAACGGTATCATGGATTCATTGTGCACCTGATAGAAATCAATGAGTCTATCCCTCAAGCTGCGAATTTCCTTATTCCCAGATCGCCTTGACAATTTGGGGGATTTTCTCAACGGTTCTTCACCATATTTCTTCACCAATTCCATCATCCACTCAGCCTCACGACCCTTGTATTTTTCAAGTGCTCGTGGAATCTCGTCCACTTTGTCTGGTCGGTAGTAAGAAAAGAAGTTTTGAAACCGTGTGAGCCAATCTCCCTCAGATGGCTTAGAATGAGACTCGGTAGTTGGTGAGGCCATTCCACTGTGCAGCGAGGGTTCAGGGCCGTACTTGTCCACTAGAACCCGGAAAATGTCCTCCTCCCTCCCACGGTAAGTCCTCCATATGGCGTCAACGGAGGAAAGGCAGGAAGGATTGTACACCTCGTAAAACCTTGCGAGGCGTTTCTTTACTTCTTCCCCTTCCATCTTAGCAAAAGAAGCAGGTGGAGAGAAATGGTGGGGGCGGCGTGGGAAAAAAGAAGAAAAAGACCCTTC